CCCCCCCCCCCCCCCCCCCCCCTCCCCGTCCCCGGCAGAGGCAGCGGCGGCGGCGGCGGCGGCGGCGGCCGTCTTTTTCGACGCAAGGCGGTTGTAGCAGCTGTCGAGGGCGCGTAGGTAGCACGTCTGCGATAGCTGTCCATTCACCTTCACGTGCACGAGAGAACCGAGAGGGGGGGGGGGGCACCGTTGAAAGGGAGTGACGCGGGGAGGCGATAGGATGTCCATCCGGTGGGTACACTGACCCGTCTACCAGGTTACCACTTAGTGCCGCGCATCGGGCACACCGGCGTTAGAGGCGAATACTTACGCAACGACACCCAAGGCATGCCCAATATTCACGAATGCAGCCCTTGCAGTTCCTTTCGACATATATGCATCGTTCGTGGACGTCCTTCGCGAAACAGCTGTCGACTCTGCATAGCACCAGAGGCACGATCCGAGAGCAGGCATCATACAAAAAAAAACCAGTCCGTCAAATAACCCCAACAGACCCAGTCCACTGTAGGCAGTGACAGCACCCCTATGGCCCCAGGCTGCCACCACCAGCCGCACGCACGTGCCCGTCACAATCTCGCTCTTCGCCCGGCTCACCCGCGGGTACTCCGAAGACATGTCTGGCTTGAAGAAGTCCCACACGTCGCACGCGTATGATGCCCGGGTCTTCATGTTGATCACCAGCGGGGCGTCTGGCCCTACCAAGACAGCCACCGCGCCGCACCCCCCCGTAGGGCGTGCCGGTCCCTTTCGCGGCACGATAGGCAAAGACGGCAAAGACAAGGTGGCGATAGGGTGATCGACAGTGTGAGTGCCAGAAGCATGTGTACGTCTCTCACTCCTCCTTCCCGATCCACAGGAAAGGAGAGACGGTAGACAGGCAGGGGAGAAAAAGAAAAGCGCCCGATGCTCAGAAGAGAGGGATAGTGACACATCAAGCAACGCACGGTGTGCTCAGAAGAGAGATAGTGGCACATCAAGCAACACACGCTATAGCAGGACGCTCGCTCGACTTACAAGCCCTCCAACACAGGCCAAGCCTGAAACCTGATTTCACATGACACCATAGGGCTGGCGCTGCGCGGCATGCCAAGCGACACAATTCTCCTACACACCTCTGCGTAGACCGCGATATCCGCTGCCACCACGATGGCGTAGCGTCCGTCCCAACCGCTGCTCTCGACCCAGGCGACGGCGTTCAGGAGCGCGGCCGTGCCTCCGTAGCAGGCGTTCACCGTAGTCACCCCCTCGATGTCGTCATTTCCGCTGTCTTCGAAGAGGGACATGAGGACAGTCTTGGTCGACTTGGACTTGTCGATCAGGGTCTCGGTTCCCACCTTTAGGGGGGGGTGTCGATGCGGCAGGAACACGCCCCGATCGGGTGCGAGAGAGGGGGTGGGGGGGTGAAGGGAGAGAGTCACGAAGACAGAGGGAGGCAGGAACAAAGAGAGAGAGGGCAGGAGAGAGAGGGAGGTAGAGACAGGCAGAGGGACGGAGGGAGGGAGAGAGAGAGAGGTTGGCCGAAAATAGCGGAGATCTTTTGTGGTGATGGCTACGCACACATCTCCCGCGAGGGCGGCTGCGATAGAAGGCATCTGAGCCACGATGGCGAGGGATGCAAAAGAAAGAGGCAGAGATAAGACAAGACGACACGTGCTCTCTTGCGAGAAATTACCGAACGTTCACACGAAAGGACACAACCCAACGCAACTCTCGCGTGTACAAAAGAAGATAGAGGAAACACAACGTGTCTGTGTCGAGTGGTTATCTACGGTTGCATGAAAAAATCGACAAATCACAATGACTTCCTACCCGACAACGCCACGTAGGGGGCTCCGTAGACGATAAATATCAAAATCAGCCAGCCAATCACACCTCGATGCGGCCGATGCGGTCCTTGGGGACGTCGTACTTCTCCAGCAGCTGGGCCACCACGGTCAAGCACATCGAGTTGATGTCCTCTCGGTCCCTGTCGTCATTGTTTCCCACGAGCACGGCAGGGCGGGAAAATTCAGAATGGCTTAACAAGATAACATCGAACGGCAACGGCTTCTGCGAGTGTACCTTCAACTGGTGGAGCGTGTACCTGACCAGGATGTAGTTTGATCACTGCTGTCTTGACCTTGACTAGAGTTGGTCGCGTCTACAGTACGTTGTTCCACTACGTCGACAGCTGGTCGGTATTGAAGGATGCGCCCACCACGAACAACAATACGAGAACATCGCCGTGCACAACCTCTACCATACTCTCTCGCGAAGGTTAGAGAGCGTCGGGGAGGGTTCGAGAGACAGACAGGCAAGCAAACAAAGACAGACGAATCCAAAACAGTGCTCGCCCTGGCCTTGGTATTCACGTGAATCGTGCATGCCAGACGACGCCTCCTACCAAACAAGCGCATGGAGCCTCCAACCCTATGAAAGCAGGAAGTTCGAAAAGTACTAGACAACACTTTCACGTCCGCCCCGCCATGAGTACCTCATCCCAATCGCGCCCATCCCCATCCCCCCACCACACCCTACAGACGAAACCAACCGTCCACGGTACAGCAATCAGCACACACGAACGGCATCACCCCAGAGGGTTTCGTCTCCTGTGTTCACATATCTTCTTCTTTCCTCACCCAGTGAAGGCCATCGCCTCCTGGCCCAGGCCGATCGTGTACTTCCCGGCCGATACACTGTTCGCCACCTCCAGGTCTTCCTGCTCGCGAAGGGCCGTGCGGCGAAAGCCCGCGTGTGTCGCCGACATCAAGCACGGGTCCGTCACATGTAATCGACGACACTGCTATTGACGACGCACATTGACCCGTCCAGGAATTTACTCGCTATCTAGGAGGGGCGTGACGCGGAACGCTGTTTGTACTCCCGCAGCTTGCAGAGACGTGTGACTAGTCCTCGCCAAGCACTCTTCCGGCAAGCAGATGGCGGAAAGGGAGGACTGTCACCCTGATCCCGCCACTGCCACATGATCGTGCATACAGAGGCTGTAGAACAGCGTCCGGCTGCAGAGCTCTACAACATGCGACATGCCTCCGTGCATGGCAACGGAAAGTCACCGCACCACCTGCTCCGCACGGGCCGCGTTCGCATGCTCTTCTTCTCCTTGTTGTTGGTGCGCATGCTTACCTGAGAGACAAAGGTGCTGGGAAAGTAGACATCGGCCGCCAGGATGCCGACGTTGGCAGGCCTGCACTCGCCCCCCCCCCCCCCCC